CTGGACCTTATGTACAGGGGTTGCATTGTAAATATTTCAAGGGGACATGGACAGCCAATGGTCACTTATTCTCTGCATTTTTCCCAGTCCTGGAGAAAGAATGAGAGTCACACTTGTCTGTGACTATAAGGATAATTACTTAGAATACAATTAAAATTTATATTGGTTTAGGAAAAATGGCAGCAGTAGGTTCTACTATAGGGTCTATGTCTTCTCCAGTCATGGGCATTTGGATAGGTTTATAATACCAGGCATGAATTCCCTCCTATCTATTAGCCTTAATAATAACTAGTCAGCTATTGTTTACCCTTAAGATAAACGAGCTACTATTGTACCACTGTGATTAGCTTGCTGGAAGTATTTATTGTTGCTGATGGCATTTACAGCTGAGTAGGACTACTGATTGCTTTTCTGTCTTGGTGGCTTGCATATCACCTTTCCATACTATGAAAGCTAAACTTCACGGAGGAGGATTCCAGGTCAATTCCAGGGTGATTCCTCTAAGGACCAGCCTAAAGTATATGGTGTCTTCAGCAAGAGGGCCTACTCTTCAAGTTCTGGGAGGAAGCTAAGTACAATAACAATAGCTTATATCATTTGAGGAATCTTTGCACTGTAAATCAGAAATTTGAATGGAGGTGTTCCATGCCAGTCACTGGGCTTTATGTTGGATAATCTGTAGCTCTTGGTGGGAGCATTATTACTCTATGTAAATCATATCCTATAAAATACCTCATGAAGAGAAGATCATTAAAAAGAATTGTTACATTCCCATAGTTCTCTACCAAAAAGTACAGCTTTTACTCTTTAAGTTTTCCCAGGACTATTACTTCATAGAAGTTTTCTGATTTTGAGGAAGAATCCAATTTTGAAGCTAGCTGTGAAAACTAACTGCAATGTAGAGTGTGCTGGCAATATATATTTCCCAAGACTTTCTTCAAAGCCCTGGTGATCTCCCTATTCCTCAGGCTATAGATAATGGGATTCAAAGCTGGGGTGACAATTGTGTAGAACACAGAGAGAATATTTTCTTGCCTGGTATCATGATAGGAACTAGGCAGAACATAAATAACCATGAGTGCACCATAGTACATCCCAACCACTGTTAGGTGAGAAGAGCAGGTAACAAGGGCTTTCTTCCTGCCCTCATTTGAGGACATGTGGAGTACAGTGAACAGAATTCGTGCATAAGAAGCAAAAATTACAGTAAGAGGAAGAATTAACATGATCACTCCTGCCAAATAAACTATGAGCTCATAAATCCAGGTATCTGCACAGGCCAGCTTCAGCATGGAAGGGATCTCACAGAACAGGTGTCTGATCTCCCGGGATTTGCAGAATGAATACTGCATGGTGTGGATGGTTAATCCTAGGGCCATCAGCAATGCTAGGATCCATGATGTGGCTACCAAGAGCCAGCATATTCTTGGTCTCATTAAAAACATGTAGTTCAGAGGGTGGCAAATGGCCACATACCTGTCATAAGCCATGAAAGCCAGAAGAAGGTCTTCTGCACCACCAACTGCTAATTCCAGAAACATTTGAAGAGCACAACTGCCAAAGGAAATCGTGTTGTCTCTCAGAAGAAAATCCATGACAGCCTTGGGAGTGATAACCGATGTGAGAAGGAGGTCCATGAGAGATAGCTGACCAAGTAGGAGGTACATGGGTCCATGGAGCCGGGCATCCATTGTGATGACCAGGAGAAGCAGTCCGTTGCTAGTCAGGGCCATGAAGTATAGGGCTGTGATAGTGGCACAAAGCATTTCAGGAGAGCCACTGCCATCCAGAATCCCCACCAAAATGAAGTCAGTACTCCTGGTGGAGTTCCAAAGCTCCATTTTGCATAGTCTCTAAAACTGACAAAAACAGAAACTTAGTGAAGTTTTGCTGATATTGACCTCAGTTTTGCCATACCAGAAGCCTATTATGCAAACTTACATGACTCCAAAAAGAATACATATTTCATACATACAATGAGATGGTGGAGGGGTTCTTAGGGAGGAAATCTCAATATGATCAAAATACATTGTATGAAATTCTCAATGAATCAATAAAGTATTATATTTTAAAACATTTGCTTTTGTATTTACAAATTTTATGTTTTTCATCTCAACTTCTTACTTTAAATTTTATGTGCTCATTCAATTAACTGTTTATTTAAAATATTGGAATGCATTTATATTTGGCAGATTCTGCACAAATTGCCGATAAGAGAGGTAATGAAAATAGTAAGCAGTATACAGCATACACTAAAACTTAAATATGGTAAGAGAAATCTACATCAAACAACCTTCTTACTGTGATTTTCAATTATAGTAATATGTTTATTTCAATGCATTATAAAATTATTAAAACAGGCCGTAGCAGCATGCCTGTGATTCCAGCACCCAAGAGGCTACATCAAAGGAATTTTTAAAATTATCTTCTTAATTTTTATTGAGCTTTTGTACATTTCATACAACACTTCTTAATCAAATTTAGACACTTCCCCAATCCATGCTCCCCTGCAGGACCTCATGCATTCCACCATACATGTTAAGTCCTGTCCAGTAACCATTTGTACTCAGATATCCTTCTTTGAAAATTCATCCATTAGAGTCTAGTCAGCCTATTGAGAGAGCATAAGTAAGGTCTGCTCTCCCTCACCCAGTAGTGATCAGTTTTCATAAGAATTTTGAGTTTGAAGCCAGTCAGTGCAAGCTACATAGAGAGCTGGTCTCAGAAAACAAAGTAACCAAAATAACAAATAAGAATTCATAAAAACTCACAGAAATGCTTGGTAAAAGCAATGTGGAGCACTCTTAACTACAAATGAATCTACCATATGATCTGGTTATGCCATTTCTTGGCATATACACAAAGGATTCACCATACTGTAGAGATATTTGTACATCCATGTTTGTTGCTGCTCTTTGCACAATAGCTGAGAATGGATTCTCAGCTGATGAATGGATAATGAAAATGTGGTACATTTACACTATGGAGTTCTACTCAGCAGTAAAGAAAGTCAAAATCATGCAATTTCCAGGTAAATGGATAGAACTAGAAACCATTACACTAAGTGAAGTAACAAAGAGTCAGAAATACAAGTTGTTAATGTTCTCTCACATTTGTGAATTTTAGCACCAAGTCCTTATATGTGAGTATATATCCTGATGTAACTGCAAAAGCCAAAATAATGGAAAGGAATCATGGAGGTAAATGGAAAGAAAAAGGCAGAGAGGGGAGGATAGTAGGAGACAGATGTTACTAAGGGGGAAATAGGGAAAATTCGGATATTGAAATGGGAAGGGAAGAGGAATGGTTATACATGGCACCATGGAGGTAAAGGAGAAGTAAGTCAAGAGAGGGGTGATTAATAGAAGACAGGCATTATGAAGGAGAAAATGGGGGAATGGGGGTACTTTACCTGGGGAGGGAGGAGGGAAGATAGAAAGGGAGAGAGAGAAGAGATAAAACCTAGGTGGTGTGAAAAATCAGAGGGAAATGTATTAGCTCAAAAACCTGAAAAATACACATACAATATCTGAACATGACTGAATATGTATATGTGAAGGCTATATAACAAGGAGTACAGAGACAGACAGGAGAAACCTCCCATTGAGTTGTTGGTCAGGGTAGTCTAAGAGACTCCCAAAATTACACAGGCTATTGCCACAGCCCAAGATTGCCTCCCAGAGCTTTAAGGTAAAACCCTATTTTGGAAGACAGAGCACACTTTGAACACAGGACTTAGAGCAAAGGTGCTGGAACTGATCTGTAAGCTTACTACAAATTTCAGGCATTGTATTGTATCTTTATAAAAGAACTGAAGACAGTATTGAGATAATTATCAGGAAGTTGGTTCCTAAATATGGACTGCCACACACATTTTATCTATCCTAATTGATTCTCTACTGATATTCAGAAAAAATCTAAAATGGAGATATTGAAAGGCAATTGACCCCAAAACAAAAGGGATTCCCACACCGTAGCTTAAGTCCTCAGGGATTGCTTTGGACACTATTATTTCCATAATATGCTCAGAGGCTACACATTTCTTTAAAGGCAGACAAGCTCCTCATCTCAGGTGATAGGACGCATAGCTTCTTGACCACTCAAACTTCCCTTGGGCTGCTTGATGAATGAGGATATCCCAGTACAAAAAGGTTTACTTCAGCAGTACTTAAGTGATGTTAACTAAGTTTGTTATGTATGGATGGAATCCTTCAAGTGTCAGGGTTAGAGCTATTCTATTTCTCCCTTCAATCTATAGATTTTTCTCTGCAGACAGCAGTGGGGACAACCTGACAGCTAGAAATCTTCGGCTAGTTTCCTACAGAACAAGGAGTTGTCTATCCTAATACTCACACATGAGAAGAATTAGTAAAAACAATCAATTTCAAAGGTTGTGTGGTGAGAGCCCATCTTGCTTCCTGTTGATTTCAGATTTCAGACTCAGCTGTTCATGGGTCCTGATGTTCAGGTTTCTTTGCTCCTGCTGTCATCTGGGAGTAAAAATCAAAGCTACACAAAGGAATAGAAATCCAAAGAGATGTTCAAAGCGCCCCTTTGTTCTTCATTTAAAAGTCCCTGGGGCCAGAGTAAACCAGAGTCTTATGAGGGGCACGCAATTTGTCTTCTGGCTCTTCTTTCTTCTATGCAGATCCTCAGAGGAGTTTTTCTCCCAGCTGAAATGACCTCCCCTGGGAAGGCTGATCTAGAAAATGGTAAATAAATCAAGCCTCTTGAGTATGTTACTGGCTTGTTTTGTGAACTCTTTATAACTTAGTGGTGTTTAAAGTCAAAGGGTTCTATCACCCTTGAAAGAAAGATCCACCTCCCTTAGCTTCCAAAATGATTAGATTATAGGCACTCACTACCTGGATTTCATAGATTTCTATGTTACCCTAAAGGAAATAACGTTAACCCATTTTTACCTTTTCTAACTAAGTGGGACTGCAGAGATTCCTCCTGTAGCCAGATAAGAAAGGTCAGCATTTTTTTTTCTTTTCCCAAAATGTTACAAGTCTCATTGTCACTGCTGCAATGCACTTATTGTGATGGAAGCATAACCTCTCTCAAATCAGCCACATTGACCAATTCTGGACACTGACAGTGCATATTCTCATGTAGGATGAGGCTAAAGATCAGCATTTTTAAGAGAGATCTTGTCCTCTGTCAAACATCCCCTAGTTAGAGGCAGATTTTCACTGTGGCCCTGAAGGAAAATGAGGATAGGTAGTGGTTTGTCTTCTCTGTGCAGTCGTGCTCACAACACATTCCTAAATTCCAACTCTTTTTATCTTATTTCATGGATCCATGCAGGAGAGGAGATATGAAAACATGCATACATGGACTAAAAGATTAAATTTTAATGTTGTTTGTTATTTTATTTTGTATTTATTTGCTATTTTATTTTTGTTTTATCCTGTTTTAATATTTTTATTGAGAGTTTGGATATTTCATGCGAAAGTTCTTAACCAAATTTAGACCCCCTCCCCCATCCAAGTCCCCCATAAACCCCCACTGGGCCTCATGCATTCCACCACACATCTAAAGTCCTATCTAGTCAAGCATTTGTACCAAGATGTCATTCAGTACAAGTTCATTCATTCACTGGAGTCTAGTCAGTCTATCTAGAGAGCTAAGGGAAGGTCTGCTCTTTCTGTCACTCAGCAATAACCCATCTTCAAATGTTCCCAGGCTAGGGCTGGCCCACCAACCATTTCTATTCTTCCACTCTGGGCCCTTGTCTGACTGAGCTGGCATGTGTCTTGTACTTGATGCCACCATTGCCATAAGTTCATATAATCAAGTTTCCAGGGGCCTGAAATTCTCTGTCTCCTTAAGTTCAAATACCAATGCTGGCTCTTATGATCTCTCTGCCCCCTCTTCTGAAATGGTCCCTGAGTCATTGGTTCTGAAGTTTAATATAGGAGTCTATCCAGTGACATATACTCTACAGTCCCATATTCTCTAAAACTTAGCCATTTTTGGTATTCTTAGTGCATTGCATTCTATAAGGAAGCATTCCTGGTAAGAATTGAGAGATGCACTAGTATTCTCTCCACTCCCTATTCCACTGTGTTTCATGAGCCTTAGGTATAGAGATTCCACATATATTTTCTGTGTGTTACCAGTTGTGGAATTATGCAGTAGACTACATTTG